CCTTTCATGCTTTCATCCTTTTATCTTTCATCCTTTCATCCTCTCATCCTTTCATACTTTCATCCTTTCATCCTTTCATGTTTTCATTCTTTTGTCCTTTCATCCTTTCATCCTTTCATCCTTTCATCCTTTTATCCTTTCATCCTTTCATCCTTTCATCCTTTCATCCTTTCATGCTTTCATCCTTTCATCCTTTCATCCTTTCATCCTTTCATCCTTTCATCCTTTCATTCTTTCATCCTTTCATCTGTTCATTCTTTCATCCACCACCCTTTTATCCTAAGATCCTTTCATCCTTTTATCCTTCGCTCCTGTGATCCTTCATTCCTTCGATCCTTGGACCATTGGATCCTTAGGTCCCTAGGTCCATAGGTCCTTTGGTAGTTTGATCCACTGATCCTTTGATCCTTTGATCTTTAGATTGTTAGATCTCTAGATCCTTTGATACTTTGATCCTTTAACGCTTTGATGCTTTAACGCTTTGATCCTTTGATCCTTTCGTCGTATTGTCCTTTCGTCCTTTGGATCTTTCGTATTTTTGTCCTTTCGTTCTTTCGCCATTTCGTCCTTCCTTTCGTCCTTTCGTCCTTTTGCCCTTTTGTCCTCTCGTCCTTTTTTCCTCTTCTCTTTTTCTCCTCTTCCCCTTTTCTCCTTTCGTACTTTTATCCTTTTGTCCTTTAACATTTTTGTCCTTTTATACTTTCATACTTTCATCCTCTCATCCGTTCATCCTTTTAATCTTTCATCCTTTCAGAATTTCATCTTTTCATCTGGTTATCCTTTCATCCATCACCCTTTCATCCTTAAATCCTTCCATTCTTTCATCCCTTCTTCCTTTTACCTTTACATTCTTTCATCCTTTTATACTTTTATCCTTTTATCCTTCGCTCCTGTAATCCTTCAATTCTTCGATCCTTGGACCATTGGATCCGTTGGTCCCTAGGTCCTTTGGTCATTTAATCCTTTGATCCCTTGATTTCTTGATCCTTTGACCCCTTGATTCTTTGATCCTTTGATATTTTTATCCTTTGATACTTTAATCCTTTGATCTTTGATCCTTTAATCCTTTAATCCTCTGATCCTTTGATACTTTATTCCTTATATCTTTAGATCCTTAGATACTTAGACCCTTAGATCCTTAAATCCTTAGATCCTTAGATCCTTAGATCCATAGATTCTCAGAGCATTAGAGCATTTAATCCGTAGATTCTTCGATCCATAGACCCTTTGATCATCAGATTCTTCTATCCTTCGATCCACGGTTTCCTCGATCCTTCGATTCTTCGATTGTTTATTCCTTAGATGCTTTGATCCTTTGATCGGTTGATTCTTTGATTTTTTCATCATTTGATCCTTTGATCCTTTGAGCCTTTGGTCCTTTGATCCTTTGATCCTTTGATTATTTGATCCTTCGATCCTTTGATCCTTTGATGCTTTGATCCTTTGGTCTTTCGATCCTTTGATCCTTTGATACTTTAATCCTTTGATCCTTTGAAGCTTTGATCCTCTGATCCTTTAATCCTTTATTCCTTAGATCTACAGATCCTTAAATCCTTAGACGCTTAGATCCTTAGATTCTTAGATCCTTAGACCCTTAGATCCTTTGATCCTTTGATTATTTGATCATTTGATCCTTTATTCTTTAGATCTTTAGATCCTCAGATGTTTAGACCCTTAGCTCCTTAGACCCTTAGATCCTTAGATCCTTATATATATTTAAATCCTTAGATCCTTAGATCTTTAAATCCTTAGATCCTTAGATCCTTAGATCCATAGATTCTCAGAGCATTAGAGCATTTGGTCCGTAGATTCTTAGATCCATAGACCCTTTGATCATTAGATTCATATCTCCTTCGATCCATGGTTCCCTCGATCCTTCGATCCTTCGATCCTTTGATATCCTTAGATACTTAGATCCTTCGAACCTTCGTTATTTCGATCCTTCGATCCTTGGATTCTTAAATTCTTTTCTTAGAAGCTTTGATCCTTTGATCAGTTGATTCTTTGATCCTTTCATCCTTTGATTCTTTAATCGTATGATCCTTTCATCCTTTGATCCTTTTATTTTTTTATCCTTTGATTCTTTGATCTTTTAAATTTTGATCCTTATATCCTTCGATCTTTTGATTTTGTAACTGTTCTACACTTCGAATCTTCGATCGCTCGATCATTGGATCCTTCGATCCTTTGATCCTTCGATCTTTCGATTTTTCGATATTTCGATCCTTCCATTCTTAGATTTTGATGTTTTTTTGATCCTTTGATCCTTTCATCCTTTGATCCTTTGCTCCTTCGATCCTTGGAACCTTGGATCCTTTGATCCTTTTATCCTTTGATTCTTTGATCCTTTGATTGTTCCTTTGAGACTTGGATCATTTGATCCTTTGATTCTTCGATCCTTTTATTCTTTGATCCTTTGAATCTTAGATTCTTTGATCCTTTACACCTTTGATTCTTTGATCCTCTAATCCTCCTATCTTTCTATCCTTCGATTCTTCTATCCTTCGATTTTTCAATCCTTGGATTCTTCGATTCTTCGATCCTTTCATCATTGATTCTTTGATCCTTTGATCATTTGAACCTTTGATACTTTGATCCTTTGATCCATTGATTTTTTGAATCTTTGATGCTTTAATCCTTTGATCATTTGAACCTTTGATATCCCTAAAACCTCAGATCCTTAGACCCTTAAATCCTTAGATCCTTAGATCCTTGTATCCTTAGATGCTTAGATCCTTAAATCCATAGATCCTGAGAGCATTAAATCATTTGATCCATAGATTCTTAGATCCGTAGACCCTTTGATCATTAGATTCTTCTATCCTTCGATCTTTCGATTCTTAGATTCTTTATTCCTTAGATGCTTTGATCCTTTGATCCTTTGATCGGTTGATTTTTTTATCCTTTCATCGTTTGATCCTTTGATCGTGTGATCCTTTCATCCTTTGATCCTTTTGCGTTTTTATCCATTGATTGTTTGATTTTTTAAACTTTTGATCCTTTGATCCTTTTATTCTTCTGTGCTTTTTTCCTTCGCTCCTGTGATCCTTCAATCCATCGATCCTTGGACCATTGAATCCTTAGGTCCTTTGGTCCTTTGATCCTTTTATCCTCTGATCCTTTGATCGTTTGAACCTTTGATTCTTTGATCCTCTGATCTTCCTATCCTTCTGTTCTTCGATCCTTCAGTCCTCCAATCCTTCGAATCTTACATCTTTTCATCCTTTAATCCTGTGATCCTTTTATCTTTTGAACCTTTGATGTTTTGATCCTTTGATCCTTAGGTTCTTTGATCCTATGATCTTATTGTTCTTTGATCCTTAGATCTTTCGATCCTTTGATTTTCAACCTTTCTACACTTCGAACCTTCGATCGCTCGATCATTCGATCCTTCGATCCTTCGATTCTTAGATTTTGATGTTTTTTTGATCCTTTGATCCTTTCATCCTTTCATCCTTTGATCCTATGATCCTTTTATCTTTTGAATCTTTAAACTTTTGATCCTTTGATTCTTTCATCATTTGATCGTTTGATCCTTCGATCCTTTGAACCTTGGACCCGTTGATCCTTTTATCCTTTGATTATTCCTTTGAAACTTGGATCTTTTGATCCTTTGATTCTTCGATCTTTGAATGCTTGGATCCTTCGATCCTTCGATCCTTTTGTCCTTTGGTCTTTGAACCTTAGATTCTTTGATCCTTTACACCGTTGATTCTTTGATCCTCTAATCCTCCTATCTTTCTATCAGTCGATTCTTTGATCCTTTGATCGTTTGATCATTTGATCCTTTGGTCCACTGATTTTTTTAATCTTTGACAAGCATCGAAGATTCAAAAATCCTTTGATTATTTGAACCTTTGATATCCTTAGATGCTTAGATCCTCAGATCCTTAGACCCTAAGATCCTTAGATCCTTAGATCCTTAGATCCTTTGATCCTTAGATCCTTCCGATCTTTCGATTCTACGATCCTTAGATCCTTCGATTCATAGATCCACGAATCCTTGGATATTTTTTCGATTTTGAAAAATAGAAAAATCCACAAATTTAAAAACTACAAAACGTAAGAATTGAAAAAACGAGAAATTGAAATTTGCGATTTTTCAATTTCCAATTTTTTTCAGTCTTTAACTTTTCCGATGTTTCGACTTTTGGGTTTTTGTCTTTCTCGTCCTCGATTTTTTGATTTTTCATTTTTTCATTTCTCCATTTTTCAATTATCCAAATTTTCAGTTTATAGAATTTTCACCTTTGCCATTGTACTCGGTTTTTTAATTTTTCCATTTCCCAACTTTTGGAATGTACACATTTTTGATTTCTTAATTTCCAGATATCTTACGTTTTTTTTTATTTTTAATTTTTTATTGTTCAGTTTCGATTTTTATACTTTGTATTTCTCAATTTTTCATTTTTTAGCTTTTGCGGTGTTTCAATTTCTGGATTTTTCGAATTATGTCTTTCTGATCCCGAATTTTTCAATTTTTCATTTTTTCATTTCTCTGTATTTCCATTTTTCAACGTTTCGATTCTTTACTGGATTTTTAATTTTTATAATTCCCAACTTTTCGATTATACATATTTTCGATGAAAAAATTTATTTAAAGCAAAGAATGAACAGGATAAAATGTCCTCTCAACACTTATAACAAGCTGAACTCACGTGTTTATCAAGAATGTATCGTAGAAATTAGTTTGATTTGATGAGTTTGTCTCTCCAAAGCAGAGGACTAAGATGATTAAAAATATCACTCCTTTAAAAAAAAACTACGTTGTGATAACAAAAAATATTTGAAGTATAACACAAAAACAAAACTCGACCTCTTCACCTTAAAACTGTTTTCACACAAAACGATTAAACTGAAACATGATTCACTCCATTTTATAGCAATTAACCTAATTGAAAATTTTATAAAAGCCATTATTCCACCACAAAGAAAACATTTTTATTGTTAGACCACGCCAAATTAAAACCGCTTCCACCATTAATCTCTCGCCGACCACAATGACACCAGCACAAATCCTCCTCCTAGCCCTAAGTATCCAACCCTCGCACCCCTTCTCACCCCAACTCTTCATCAACTCCACCCCACCCCTCTTACCATGCTTAACAAAAATCTCCGAAAAATTCCTCATCAAAAAAGAAAGCATCTGGTTGACCACCAACGAACAAAACACCACCGACCTCTTCGACAACCAATTCGTGAAAAAACTGATGCGCCGTGGTCACTCCATTTCCGTCAAAATGATGGACTTGAAAGAAACCCCCCAGAAAAATTTCTGGCAACACACCAAAAATTACATCATAGAAACATCAGACGTGGCAGATCTTGAAGCCACCCTCGAGAATTTTAAATATCTGCATTCGTGGAACTCCCAAGCGAGATTTTTCATCATCGCCAACCAAATCTACAACGAAACTGAGAGAGTTCTATCCGGAATGGTCGAAACGTTGTGGTTAGAAGGCGTCTACGACTTCATTTTAATAACGGCAGACCGGAACCAATCGCGACACGTCAACGTGTACACGTGGTACCCGTATCGATGTAGGCGTGGCTTTGATTATGCAAGGCTCAAGCTACTAGATGTGTGTTGTAATGGCAGTTTTACCAACAACTCGAACCTGTTTCCGCAGAAAATCCCCAAAGTTTTGACAGCGTGTGAGTTGAAGGTGGGGGCGGTAACGTGGCCGCCGTTCGTCATGAAACCGGTGGCAAGAGTGGACAATACAGACCAATACATAATCAAAGAAGGCGTGGAAATAAGACTAATCGAAACTATAGTTACCAAATTACGGATGAACGTGAGCTACATAATGTCTGAAAAGTCCCAAAACTGGGGACATTTGTTCGACAATGGTACCGGCACTGGTCTCATGGCACTCTTGCGCAACAAAAGAGTCGATCTGGGTATAGCTTCCATAACGCCGTCTTTGTCCAAAAGCAAGTTCTTCGAATTAAGTGACACTTATTTTTTCGAATCTTTTGCTTGGTGTGTACCTCACGCCCCCACTCAAGCTGGTTGGAAAAAAATTTTGGACGCGATAAGCTACCAATTGTGGATTGGGTACGTTCTGTCTTTCATAACCTTCGGTATCCTAATTTGGTTGCTAGGTAAAACCCGAAAAGAGGAAACTCTGTACAAAAAGTGTATATACTGTTTCCAAAATTCGTTCTCCATGGCACTTGGTGTATCCGTGCGACACCACCCGAAAACCCAAATTCTGCGCTGGATCACGTTCTTTTGGATCTTGTTCTCGCTGAATTTTGAAGTTTTGTACGAAACTAAGTTGATGAGTATTCTAACTAAACCAACCTATAGCACCCAGGTTAACTCCATTGATGACATTCTTGACAAAAACTACAAGATTTTGTTTCCGTTGAACATTTTCAACTACGTTGATAAGAATGCGTCGTTCGATGCCTCAGTTTTTGATCGTTCGGACGACTGTTTGGAGGTTAAGGATTGTCTGGCACGTGTGGCGTACCTTAAAGATAGCGCTCTTTGTTTATCTTCGTCTTACACTCACTACATTAAGGAGTCGTACGCTACTAGGGACAATATTCCTCTTATTTATTGTTTTAATAGTAAACTAGCGACTTATCCTGTCATTTTGTTGATGAAAAAAGGGTTTCCTCTAGCGCTTCGATTCAACAATATCATTTCGAGGTTAGTGGAAGGTGGGTTTATCGATCATTGGGCTGCTGATATTAACACCCAGAAGTGGAAAGAGGAAGAAATGCAAAAACTCAACACCACCACAAATACTGAGTTTTTGGATTTGGGAAAACTGCAAGGGGCTTTCATTGTTTTGTTGATTGGATTGGCGATTGCCACTACAGTGTTTGTTTTGGAAATTATTCACTTTTTGTTCTTTTTTTTAAAAGGTAAACATATTTTTATAGTGTAATTGTGTATAGAATAAAGTAGACAGTTTGCGACTCAGACCCTTGCAATGTTACGCCACTGGCCACAAATGTCAATTTAAATTCATGACATGACGTAAACACCACCTTACAAAACGTTATTTTATCAGTATTCAACATTATTGCGCATTTTCGTCCCTTCGTCTTTCGTTCTTTCGTCCTTTGATCCTTGGATCCTTGGCTCCTTGGTCCCTTGGTTCCTTTGATCTTTCGATTCATAGATTCTTAGATTCTTAGATCCTTGGAGCCCTAGATCCTTTGACTCTTGGATTCTTTGATTCTTTGATACTTCGATACTTTGATCCTTTCACCCTTTGATTTTTGATTCTCTGAAATCCTTTGATATCCTTTGAGATCCTTTAAGATCCCTGGATTTCTTGAATCTTAGATCCTTTAATTTTTTGATATCTTTTATATCCTTTGAGATACTTTGATCCTTTGATCCTTTGATTCTTTGACCTTTCATCCTTTCATCCTGTATTCCTTTCATACTGTCATCCTTTCATCCTTTCATCCTTACATCCTTTCATCTCTTCATCCTTCCATACTTTCATCCTTTCATTCTTTCATCATTTCGTCCTTTCGTCGTTTCATCCTTTCATCCATTCATCTTTTCATCCTTTCATTCTTTCATCTTTTCATCCTTTCATCCTTTCAACCTTTCATCCTTTCATCCTTTCATTCTTGCATCCTTTCATCCTTGCATCCTTTTATCCTTTCATCTTTTTGTTAGTGCGATAGATCCAAATTCTCCGGTTTATCTTTTTATCCTTTTATCCTTCTAGCCTTCTATCCTTCTATCCTTCTAGCTTTCTATCCTTCTATCCTTCTATCCTTTTATCATTTGATCCTTCTTTCCTTCTATCATTTTATCCTTTGATCCCTTGATTCTTTGGTCCTTAAATCCATAGATCCCTAGATACTTAGATTTTTAGATCATTCCATCCTTCGTTTCTTCGATCCTTAGATCATTCCATCCTTCGTTTCTTCGATCCTTAGATCCTTAGATCCTTCGATTTTTCGATCCGTGGATCCTTTATTCCTTAGATCTTTTGATCCTTTTCTCCATTGATCCTTTCATACTGTGATATCCTTTGAAATTTTTTGAGGTCCTTTGAGGTGCTTTGAGATCCACTGGATCCCTTGGGATACTTTGAGATCTTTTGAGATTCTTTAAAATCCTTTGAGACTATCTGAGATCCTTTGAAATCCTTTAAATCCTTTGGGATCCTTTGAGATCCCTTGATCTCCTGATTTCCTTCGATATTCTTTGACTCTTTGATACTCTATGAGATTTTCAGAGATCATTTGATCCTTTGATATACTTAGATCCTTAAATATTTAGTTTCATAGATTATTGTATCCATAGATCCTTGAATTCATAGATCCTTTAGTCCTTTGATCTTTAGATCTTTTGACCCTTTGACCCTTTGATCCTTTGATTCTTTGATAATTTGATCCTTTGATTCTTTGATCCTTAGATCGTTAGATCCATGAATTTTTGGATCCATAGAGTCTTCCTTAGACCCTTAGATACTTAGATCCTTAGAATCTTAGATCCTTAGATACTTAGATCCTTATATACTTAGTTCCTTAGAATCTTAGATCTTTAGGTTCTTTGATCCGTTGTTCCCTTTGATCCTTTGGTCCCTAGATACTTAGATCCTTATATTTTTAGTTCCTTAGATCTTTAGATCCTTTGATCCTTTGACCCTTAGATCATTTGATCATTTAATCATTCGATGCTTCGATCTTTAGATGCTTAGATCCTTAACTCTTTAGATTCTTAGATTTTTTAATCCTTCAATTCCTCGATTCACAAATTCTTATACCCTTAGATCATTAGATTGTTTGATCCTTTGATCCTTCGATTCTTTGATCCATTGGTTCTTAAATCCATTGATCCATGTAACCTTAGATCCCTAAATCCTTTGACCTTTAGATCCTTCGATTTTTCGATCCGTGGAATCCTTATTCCATTGATTCTTTGATCCTTTGATCCTTTGATTCTTTGACCCTTTGATCCTTTGATCCTTTGATCCTTTTTAACCTTTGATCCTTTGATTCTTTGATCCTTTAATCCTTTAATCCTTTGATCCTTTAATCCTTTGATGCTTTGATATCCTTTGATCCTTAAATCTTTCGGTCCTTCTGTCCTTCGGTACTTCGATTCTTGGATCCTTAGATCGTTAGATCCATAGATTCTTGGATCTATAGATCTTTAGAGCCATTTACCCTTCCTTAAACCCTTAAATCCTTAGATCCTTAGATCTTTAGAACCTTAGATCCTTTGATCCTTAGAATCCTAGATTCTTAGATCCTTATATCCTTAGTTTCTGAGATCCTTAGATCTTTAGATCCTTTGATTCTTTGATCCCTTCGATCCTTTGATCCTGAAATCCTTTGACATCCTTTGAGAAGCTATGATCCTTTGATCCAATAATCCTTTGATTTTTTGACCCTTTTATCCTTAGATCCTTTGAGATCCTTTGATCCATTAACCCTCTGATTATTTGATCCTTTGATCAATATGATCCTTTAATTCTTTGATACTGTATTCCTTTGATCGTTGGATCCTTTCATCTTTTCGTCCTTTCGTCCCTTCGTCCTTTCATTCTTTCATCCTTTCATCCTTTCATTCTTTCAACCTTGCATCCTTTCATCCTTTTATCCTTTTGTTAGTGCGATAGATCCAAGTTCTTTCGTTTAACTTTTTATCCTTTTATTCTTCTGTCCTTCTATCCTTCTATTCTTCTATCGTTCTATCCTGGTATCCTTTTATCTTTTGATCCTTTAATTGTTTGATTCTTTGATCCATTGGTCCTTAAATTCATAGATCCATATATCCTTATATCCCTTGATCCTTTGATGCTTTTCTCTACTGATCCTTTCATACTGTCATATCCTTTGAGATTTGTTGAGATCTTTTGAGGTGCTTTCAAATCCATTGGATCCTTCGGGATACTTTGAGATCTTTTGAGATTCTTTAAAATCCTTTGAGATTCTCTGAGATCCTTTGAAATCCTTTAAATTCTTTGGGATCCTTTGAGAGCCTTCGATCCCTTGATATACTTTGATATTCTTTGATCCTTTGATACTCTTTGAGACCTTCAGAGACCATTTGATCCATAGTTCCATAGATTATTGTATCCATAGATCCTTTATTCCTTAGAACTTTTGATCCTTTGATCCATTGATTCTTTGATCCTTTCATTCTTTGATCCTTTGATTCTATGATACTTTGATACTTTGATCCTTTGATTCCTTGATCCTTTGATCATTTGATCTTTTGATCCTTTGATATCCTTAGATCCTTATATCCATAGATCCTTTGGTCCTTAAAGATTTCGGTCTTTCTTTCCTTCGGTCCTTCGGTCCATCGGTAATTCGATTCTTCGAACCTTCGACCCTTTGATCGTTAGATCGTTGGATCCATAGATTCTTGGATCCATAGACCCTTAGATCCTTACATCCTTAGATTTTTAGATCCTTAGATCCTTAGATCCTTAGATCCTTAGATACTTATATCCTTAGTTCCTTAGATCCTTTGATCCTTTGATCTCTTTGATTCTGTGATTCTTAGATCCTTGGATCCTTATATCTTTAGTTCCTTAGTTCCTTAGATCTTTAGATCCTTTGATCCTTTGATACCATTGAACATTTGATCCATTGATGCTTAGATCATTTGATCATTTGATCATTCGATCATTTGTTCCTTCGATGCTTCGATCCTTAGATGCTTAGATCCTTAAATCTTTAGATTCTTAGATTCTTCAATTCCTCGATTCACAGATTCTCATACCCTTAGATCATTAGATTCTTTGATCCGGTGAACCTTTGATCTTTTGATCCTTTGATCCTTTGATCTTTTGATCCCTTGATCTTTTGATTCTTTGATCCTTTGATCATTTGATCCTTTGAGACCCTTTGAGATCATTCGAGATCCTTTGAAATCATTTGAGATGCTTTGAGATGATTTGAGATTCTTTGAGATCCTTTCAGATCCGTTGACATCGTTCGAGAAGCAATGATCCTTTAATCCAATAATCCTTTGATTTTTTGACGCTTTCAACCTTAGATCCTTTGAGATCCTTTGATCCATTAATCCTCTGATTATTTGATTTTTTAATTAATATGATCATTTTTTTCTTTGATTCTTTATTCCTTTGATCCGTCTATCTTTTTATCCTTCTATCCTTCTATCCTTCTATCCTTCTATCCTTCTATCTTTTATCCTTCGATTTTTCGCTCCTTAGATCCTTAGATCCTTCGATTTTTCGATCAGTAGATCCTTTATTCCTTAGATTCTTTGATCCTTTGATGTTTTTATCCATTGCTTCTTTGATCCTGTGATATCCTTTGCGATTCTTTGGCGTCCTTTGAAGTGCTTTGAAATCCATTGGATCCTTTGGAACACTTTGAGATCTTTTGAGATACATTAAAATCTTTTGAGATTCTCTGAGATTCTTTGAAATCTTTTGAAATCTTTTGATTTCTTGATATCCTTTGATATTCTTTGACCCTTTGATCCTCTGATGTCTTGATATCTTTAATTAGATCCTTAAATCTTTAGATCTATAGATTCTTATATTCCTAAGATCTTTTGATCCTTTGATCCATTGATTCTTTGATCCTTTGATCCTTTGATCCTTTTATCCTTTGATCCTTTGATCCTTTGATCCTTTAATCCTTTGATCCTTTGAGATCTTTTGGGACCATTTGTGATTCTTTGAGATTCTTTGATCCATTGATTCTAACATCTTTAGATACTTATATCCATAGGTCCTTATATCCATTGATCCTTACATCCATAGATCCACACATCCTTAGATCCTCAGATCTTTTGATTCTTAGATCCTTGTATCCTTGGATCCTTCAATCATTAGATCTTTAGATCCTTTAATCCTTTGATGCTTTTATCCGGTGATCTTTTGTTTTTGTAATATCATTTGAAATCTTTGAGGTTCTTTGAGATGCTTTAAGATCCATTGGATCCTTTGGGATACTTTGAGATCTTTTGAAATCTTTCAAAATTTTAAAATCCTTTGAGATTCCCTGACATCCTTTGAAATCCTTTGAGATCCTTTGGGGCCTTTGTGATCCTTTGGTCTCTTGATATCCTTTCATATTCTTTGATCCTTTGATACCCTTTGAGAACCTTTGACATCATTTGATCTTTTAATATCCTTATACCCACAGATTCTTGGATCCTTAGATCCTTAGATCTTTAGATCTTTAGATACATTGATCCTATATCCATAGATCCACACATCCTTAGATCCTTAGATCTTTTGATTCTTATATTCTTGTATCTTTGGATCCTTCGATCAGTAAATCTTTAGATCCCTAGATCCTTGGATTTTTAAATTCTTACATTTTTAGGTTCTTGGATTGCTCGATTCCTCGATTCTTAAATTCCTAGATTTTTCGATTCCTTGAATCGTCGATTTTTCGATTCTCCGATTTTACGATATTTTTCGATTTTTCGATTTTTTGACTTTTCGATTTTTGTCTTTCTCGTCCTCGATTTTACGATTTCTCATTTCTTGATTTCTCTATTTCTAATAGATCCTTCGATCCTTAAATCCGCAGATACTTTGATGCTTTTATCCAGTAATCCTTTGATCTTGTGATATTCTTTGAAATCTTTGAGGTCCTTTGAGATGCTTTAAGATCCATTGGATCCTTTGGGATACTTTGAGATCTTTTGAGATACCTTAAAATTTTAAAATTCTTTGAGATTCCCTGAGATTCTTTGAAATCCTTTGAGATCATTTGGTCTCTTGATATCCTTTGATATTCTTTGATCCTTTGATACCCTTTGAGAACCTTTGACATCATTTGATCTTTTAAAATCCCACAGATCCTGAGATCTGTCGATCCTTTATTGCTTAGTTCCTTGGAACCTTAAATCTTTAGATCCTTTGATCTTTTGGTCATTTAATCCTTCGATCCTTAGATCCTTAAATCCTTAAATCCAATTCTCAACTTTTCGATTATACTATTTTTTAAGGATTTTCCTTTTTTTTTGTTTGATTTTTTTCGATTCTCCAATTTATTCGACTTACCGACTTCTCGATTTTTCAAATGTTTAATTTATCTATTACACGATTTCTTTATTTTTCGATTTTCGAAAAATTTAGACCGGGAGGAATCAAAAAATCCAGAAATAGAAAAACCACATAAAATCTAAAAAATGGAGAAATTGAAAAATACAAAACTAAAATACCAGAAAATTGAAAAATCGATAAATCGAATAATTAAAGAGAACTGAAAACGAGAAACAAATAATGACCCCAGCAATGTTACGCCACTGGCCACAAACGTCAACTCGAAAGCATGACGTGACGTAAACATAACCTTTGTATCATCACCTCCCAAAACCTCATTTTCTCAGTATTAAACAACTTTTTGTGCAAAAATGTTGTACACAACCCCCGCTAGTCGACGAATACAAACATTACTGCGCATTTTGACCAATGTCAACCCCTTCATTGGTAACAGTGTACGAGCCTATGTGTCTTCAGAAACCGTGTCAATTGGCGAAGTTACCAAAGTAATTGAGGCACCAAAACGGCCGGAATATGTCCCTAGAAACTACTGTACTTAAATGAAAAACGCCGAGTCACCACAACCATAAAAAAACATTATTTTTTAGATAGAGAAGATCTGGGTCAAAGTACACTGCATCATCTGAGATGGATGATGCAGAAGGACATTCTAGGGCAGGATATTTTTTTATTAGGGCCACCGGGCCCTCAGAAACGGAACTTAGCCATGCAGTACCTAGAATTGACGAACAGAGAGCACGAATATGTGGCTTTGAGTAGAGACACCACTGAATCAGATTTGAAGCAAAGGAGAGAAATTGTGAAAGGAACGGCTAAATATTTTGATCAGGTTTGCTATTTATGATGTTGTGTTACAAAGTTGGACAGAATTTTTCGGTAGAGCGCGGTCAGGGCGGCAGTGGAGGGTCGCATTTTGGTGCTTGAGGGGATTGAAAAGGCAGAACGTAACGTGTTACCAGTGCTGAATAATTTGCTTGAAAATAGAGAAATGAATCTGGAAGATGGGAGACTTCTAATTCCAGCTTCCAGGTATGATAAATTGTTGCAAGTAAGTGAGTTTTGAGGTTTGTAATTACTGGGTTAAGACAAAAATACACTTGTAGGAGTATGGAAAAGAAGAACTGGATAAGTGGAAATTGCTTAGGGTTGATGAAAATTTTAGAGTGATTGCGTTGGGGCTGCCTATACCTAAGTATTAATTTATTTAATTTAAGTCTCCAGTGTTTTAATTTATTATGTGTATTAGGTATAGAGGAAACCCGCTGGATCCTCCACTCCGGTCACGCTTTCAAGCCAGAGATGTAGCACCTAAAGGTTACCAAGTAAGTGCATTTTTGTTAATAATGGTACTAAATTTAATAATAATAATTTACTTTATTGTGTAACGTGCAACCATTTATTCACGATTGTATTGCTGGTTGCATAAATGCATACATTAACACCGTGGCCAGTGGCGGCGTTTTAATTCAATTATGGAAAAAATGGGGCCAACAAAAATCAATTAAATATATTAACTTGGCATAAACATTGATTAATATAGATGCGACATACAGGCTAATTTTGCAAAACCACCCTTATTGACATTGGAGTCATCAAGCGCCAAATTTAAATAGTCGATGCGCCAATAAAAAAACTTGTTTCACAACAACTCGTCGCCTGAGAACTTGTTTGATCTACAGACCAGAGCGCCCTCAGGCCAATGTCGACTCTAAGCGTTCAGAAACGATTTGATTGGTTTGGACTATAATTTCTGCCAAGTTGTTTGGTCGGTTTTTATAACGACTAAGTGAATATTTTTGGTACATATTTAGATGATTTTACATATTCTGTTTAACTAAGAATTAATTCTTTATTTTGTGTTTTATATTAGTAAAACGTCCTAAACTAAGATTGTTGAAATCGTAATATCCCAATGGATTTTTTTCGGGAAAATGTTTGGGAAACATTGTGTTTTATTTTGTATGATTTTTTAAATGTTTTTAGTGACATTTGTGGTTGTTTTCGATACACTGAATGATATTAACAGTGAGAAAAAAAAATGAAAAATTAAAATAATCGAAAATTCGAAAAATCGAAAAATCTAACAATCGAAAAATCGAAACCTTAAAAAATCATAAAACCGAAACGTCGAAAAACTGGAAAATCGAAAAACCGAGAAATCGAAAAATCGAAAGATCAAGAAATCGTGGAGTCGAAAAGTCGAACAATTGGGAAACCGAAGAAGGCCAAAATCGAAAAATCGAAAAGTTAAAAATTAAACAATATATAAATTGAGAAATTGACAATCAAAATAAGGAAAAATCCAAATCTCGATAAATTGAGATCTCAAAAAACTTAAAAATTCGAAAAATTGAAAAATTGGGAGATGGAAAGATCAAAAGAACAAGAAATCGAAAAGTGATGAAGTCGAAAAATCGAAAAATAGAGAAATCGACAAACAAAAAGTTAAAAGTTGAAAAATTGGAAAAGAGGAAAAATCAAAAAACGAAAAAATGGAAAATTGGAAAAACTGAGAAACCGAAATAGGCCAAAATATCGGAAGATTAAGAAATATGGAAAAATTAAACAAATCTAAAATTTAAAAATCCAAAAAGTCGAAACAGTAAAAAGGTAGACACATCGAAAAACCCAGAAGTCAAAAATAGCAAAGCCGAAAAATAGAAACCTTAAAAAATCGAAAAATTGAAAAATCAAAAACCTGAAAATCAAAAAATTAAAGAATGGAAGAACAGAAAAATCGAAACACTCGAAAGTCAAGAAATGAGAAAATCAAAACATCGATTAATTGAAAAATCGAAAAATTGAGAGTTTATAAGAGTCAAATTTGAAAAATTAAAACATCAAAAATCTGACAAAATGACAATTGAAAAACATAAAATCCAAAATCGGGAAGCCGAAAAATCAAAAGATTAAGAAATCGAAATATTTAGAAAATTCGAAAACTTCAGAAATTGAAATTTCGAAGAACTGAAATGAAAAATCGAGAAATCGAAAAATCTACAATTTTAAAAATTAAAAAATCTAAAATTTAAAAATCGGAAAATTGAAAAAATCGAAAAAGTAAAAACATCGACACATCGAAAAATCCAGGAGGCAAAAATCGAATCGATTTTTTGATTTTCCCATTTCTCAATTTTTTGACTTTTCAGTGTTTGGATTGTTGTGGATTAATTTTTGGACTTTAAAATTTTAGTTTTTCAATTTTTAGATTTTTTGTTTTGATTTGTCGATTTTGCAATTTTCAATTTTCCAAATTTTAATTTTTCAATTATGAAGACATTACATTTTTCGGTTTCTCTATTTTTCGATTTTTCAGTTCTTTGATTTTTCTGTTTTTCAATTTTTCGAACATTAAATTTTAGATTTTGTTTCAATTTCTTGATCTTTCGATATTTCGACTTCTTGGTTCTAGATTTTTCAATTTTTCGATTTTTTCAGTTTTGACCTATTTCGATTTCTCAAATTTTCGATTTTTCCAGTTTCGGCTATTCGGTTATTCGATTTTCCATTTTTTTGATGTTTCAATTTTTCGATTGTTTCAATTTCGGATTTTCGATTTCTCAATTTTTCAATACATATTTTAATTTTGACAACTTTTGCATTTCTAGATTTTTAAATTTTTCAGTTTACGACGTTTCTAAATGTTCATTTATACGATTTCCTAATTTCTCAATTAATCGATTTTTTTTGTCCCATTTCTCAATTTTTTGACTTTTCAGTGGTTCGATTTTACAGTTTTTCAATTAAATGTTTTGAATTTTCGTGTTATCGTTTTTCCATTTTTCAATTTTTCAAATTTTCTGTTATTCGACTTTCAGTTTTCGACTTTTCGATTTCTCATTTGTCGATAAAATTTAAAAATCGAAAAATTGAAAAATCGAAAAAGGAAAAAAATCGACACATCGGAAAATCCAGGAGTCAAAAATCGAAAAGTCGAAGAATCGAAATATTGAAAAATCCCAAAACTGAAATATCGAAACACTGAAAAATGAAAGAAAAACCAAAAATGGGAAACTATATCGGGAAATCAAAACATTGAAAAATCGAAAAATTTAAAACTACAATTGAAAACAGAAAATCTAAAACCGGAAAGTCGAAAAATCGAAAGATTAAGCAATCGAAAAATTGAAAAATCGAAAAAGTAAAAAATTGACACATCGAAAGCTCCCGAAGCCAAAAATCAAAAAGTCGAAAAATCGAAATATTGAAAAATCCCAAAACTGAGATATCGAAAAACTGAAAAATGAAAGAAAAACTGAAAATCTAATAACCTGAAAAATCCGAAAACTGAAATATCCAAAAACTGAGAAGCTAAAAAGTCGAAAAATTGAGCAATCGAAAAATCCAAAAATTGAAGTCGATAAATCGAAACCTTAAAAAATCAAAAACCTGAAAAATCAAAAAATTAAAGAACAGGAAATTCGAAACACTCCAAAGTCAAGAAATGGGAAAATCAAAACATCGATTAACTGAAAAATCGAAAAATTGAGAATTTATGAAAGTCAAATTTGAAAAATTAAAAAATCGAAAATTTGACAAAATGACAATTGAAAAACAGAAAATCTAAAACCGGGAAATCGAAAAATCGAAAGATTAAGAAATCGAAACATTTGAAAAATTCGAAAACTTGAAAAATTGAAATATCGAAGAACTGAACTGAAAAATCGAGAAATCGAAAAATATAAAATTTTAAAAATTAAAAAATCTAAAATTTAAAAATCGAAAAATTGAAAAATCGAAAAAGTAAAAAAATCGACACATCGAAAAATCCAGGAGTCAAAAATCGAAAAGTCTAAGTTTCGAAATATTGAAAAATCCCAAAACTGAGACATCGAAAAACTGAAAAATGAAAGAAAAACTGAAAATCTATTAACCTGAAAAATCCGAAAACCGAAATATCCAAAAACTGAGAAGCGAAAAAGTCGAAAAATTGAGCAATAGAAAAATCCAAAAAGTGAAGTCGAAAAATCGAAACCTTAAAAAATCGAAAAATTGAAAAATCAAAAACCTGAAAAATCAAAAAGTTAAGGGATTGAAGAACAGGAAAATCGAAACACTCGAAGGTCAAGAAATGGGAAAATCAAAACAACGATTAATTGAAAAATCGAAAAATTGAGAGTTTATGAAAGTCAAATTTGAAAAATTGAAAAATCGAAAATTTGAAAAAACGACAATTGAAAAACAGAAAATCTAAAACCGGGAAGTCGAAAAATCGAAAGATTAAAAGATTAAGAAATCGAAACATTTGAAAAATTGAAATTAGGAAGAGCTGAAATGAAAAATCGAGAAATCGAAAAATCTAAAATTTTAAATATTGAAAAATTAAAATACCAAAAAATTGAGAAATCTAAAATTTAAAAATCGAAAAAGTAAAATAATCGACACAGCGAAAAATCCAGGACTCAAAAATCGAAAAGTCGAAGAATCGAAATATTGAAAAATCCCAAAACTGAGACATCGAAAAACTGAAAAATGAAAGAAAAACTGAAAATCTAATAACATGAAAAATCCGAAAACTGAAATATCCAAAAACTGAGAAGCTAAAAAGTCGAAAAATTGAGCAATCGAAAAATCCATAAAGTGAAGTCGAAAAATCGAAAAATTGAAAATCAAAAACCTGAAAAATCAAAAAATTAAAGGATTGAAGAAGAAAATCGAAACACTCGAAAGTCAAGAAATGGGAAAATCAAAACATCGATTAATTGAAAAATCGAAAATGAAAGTCAAATTTGAAAAATTGAAAAACAGAAAATCTAAAACCGGGAAGTCGAAAAATCAAAAGATTAAGAAATCGAAACATTTGAAAAATTCGAAAACTTGAAAAATTGAAATATCGAAGAACTGAAATGAAAAATCGAGAAATCGAAAAATTTAAAATTTTAAAAATTAAAAAATCTAAAATTAAAAAATCGAAAAATTGAAAAATTGAAAAAGTAAAAAAATCGACACATCGAAAAATCCAGGAGTCAAAAATCGAAAAGTCAAAGATCGAAATATTGAAAAATCCCAAAACTGAAATATCTAAAAACTGTAAAATGAAAGAAAAACTAAAGATGGGAAACCAAATCGGGAAATCAAAACATTGAAAAACCAAAAAATTTAAAAGGACAATTGAAAGCAGACAATCTAAAACCGGGAAAAACTGAAAAACGGAAAACCTGAAAAATCCGAAAACTGAAATATCCAAACCTAGAAAGTCGAAAAATTGAGTAATATAAAAATCCAAAAAGTGAAATCGAAAAATTGAAACTTTAAAAAATTAAAAAATCAAAAATCAAAAATCTGAAAAATCGAAAATTTAAAGAATTGAAAAGCAGGAATA